CCCCCCCCCCCCCCCCTCTCTGTTGCTAAGGAGTCACAATATGAACAATATTGAAATTAAGTTATCGTTATGCTAACAGCATTTACCTTTCTGGTAACAGGAGGAAAACTTTATGTCATCCATGTCATCTTCCTTTGAATACTACCTTCATCTCTGATTTTTACGCGCAACATTACAACTCTCCATATATCAGGACATGTTTTTAATCTGGACTTGCCTTTTTTTTTCTAGGAATTTAACCATCCTGGTGTCAGTTCTTTAGCCAAGAAGGAGTGGGATTTGTCCCAGATACACACTATTAAAAGTTACATTCCTAGTGTAACTCAAGATGACAGAGAACAAAAAATGTTAACTCTCATTTATAACAAGTTTACAAATGATGTTCTTCCACAGCTCAAGAATTTCTCAAAACAAGTAATCCATGGTGATCTTAATTTTGAGAACATACTCGTTGAGCCAAATCAGTGTGGGGAGGAGTATGAAGTAGTCAGCGTCATAGATTTTGGAGACATGAGTGTCTCTTATAGGTTGTTTGATGTTGCTATCAGTATGATGTACATAATTCTGCTTGGAGTACGACAAGGGCACTCACACAATGAGGCTATACAGATGACTGGTCATGTTCTCTGTGGCTATCAAAGTATTTGGAGCTTGACTCAGTCAGAGCTTGGGCTTTTGTACTGGTCAGTGGCTGCCAGATTCTTCCAATCCTTTATAAATGGAGTGTACAAACAGTCCTTGGAACCTGAGAATCCCCATTTGTCAGATGATTGTGAGTTAATAATGGGTATTCTTCAATCCTATACAACCTTGACAGGAGAAGAGGTTTTGAATTTGTGGTTATCACTTGCCTAATCATGCAAATTCAAGCCCTGACTTGAAAATGCCAGAAAGAAACAAACATACGCAGCTAGGTGTTATTTGCACAGTGCCTCATATATCTACTGTGGGTAATCAATTGGTAAAAGATCCTTCTACCATCACTATCTCTCAGATAATCTAAGTGAAATGTAAGGTTTATATTTGTATAGTTTTCTACAGTATGGGATAAGTTTGGTGTTGTTTGGTAAAGTTCACTGTAGTTTGGTGAACTATCTTGGCTGAACACTGCATTTAAGTATGAGTGGGTCATTAACAGTGTTATTAAGCAAGTCAATGCTTGACAATCTCAAACTTCATGAAGGAAGCCATGCCAAATCATGCATTTTTCACATAGCATGGACTGGGAGAGTTGCTATGAACATAAGTCTTCAATGTTCTCTTCTCTCTGAAATCTTATTCTGCAACTTATTGAGTCACTATGTAGAATAGTATTTGCAGAGCAAACATAAACATCCTTGCATCGTTACAATGTTTTTACCTGCTGGTTGCAGCACTTAAAAGTTATCAAGGCACCCCTTTAGATTAACATAGTCAATATTTTTTTTTTATCATCATTTTCATCATTAGTATTATTATCAAACCATCATTTAGCCTTCCACTAGAAGACAGCTTAGGTATCACTTCATTGGTTTTTAGGTTTTCATCTTTAAAGTAGTTGGGTTTTGCTAAGACCATTTTTGCATAGGCTGGTTGTGGGAAAGGAAAGCTGCAGGCCTTTACAGGAATACCCAAATACGCTTAGTGACATTAGAAGCTAGAATAAGTTGCTTGACCAACAGGACGAGGGGTTTACATTTTTAAGGCTTATGGAAGCAGGTCCTCGGAATACCTTCCGACGGAAGGTGTTCCGAGAGGAAGAAATGAGAAAACTCCTGCAGAACGGAACAAATATTGAACTTTCTCTTCAAGGTATTCTTTTGTCTGAAGGCCTACCGAGGTGCGCTACGCGTGATGGTTTAACAGGAATTAAATCACACAACTGCACGTGCCTGACTGTACAAAGATTGTCGCTCACCACGATTATCAAGAGGAAACGGTAAAGACTTCCTGTTCTTGCTTTTATCTCACAAATAAAAATTTAATATTATACTTGAAAGATCCATGACGATGAGTTGTTTCTAAATTTTTTTTTGCAGTTCATTTCAGACATAAAACACTATCTCCTTCTGAGGTCACGATTTGTAATTTTAACACAATTTTACTCACGTCTATTTTCTTAAGGCAGGAAGTATTTTTATAGCAGAGGATCTATTGTTACGTAAGATTTTATCCTCGTGTAGCAACAATGACTTGTTTCAAGAATTTTCTTTCCTTGTTTGATTTTTCCAAAAAAAAAAAACGAGAAAACTTTCTTTTCGATATGGAAAACAATATTAGTCATTTGTGCCCTGAGGCAAATCTCAGAACTTTTTTCATTAACCTTACCGGATAGGAGCGATTATTTCTGTCCTTTGAATCACAGTTAAAATTTAGGAAAGCACGCATCCGGGAAAAACAAGAGAATTACAACGGCACAATGGCGCAAAAATGTGTGTTTTGGAATTTCAGTCATGCATGTAAATAAGGATATTTAGAGGATAAAAGAGAGGAACGCGGACACTCTAAACGATCAAGGTCAAGTCCTTTGTCTTGAGTATCAGGAGCTTTATTTAGCTTTCGCTGACGTGTTGTTTATGCGATCAATTGTATTATTATTAAAATTTGGAAACGGCGGGACACACAAATAGCGGTCACGTAGTTCTAGAAGATTTTATTCAGCTGTTAGCTCTTCAAAATTTACGATATTTACAAGACTATATTTTAAATAAAATTCTCAGACCTTGTCTATATTTACACTTAAATATCACTCTGATAAAAATTACTTAATCTCTGATGAAAATATATCTATCTTTTGGGTACACACAACACGCTTCTCAGTAATAATTTCACAATAATTCGAATATCTGAATGAATTTGTTCTCTCTGTTCGTGTTGGTAAGTTCTGTAGTTTCTAGGCATCTGATCTTTAGTACTAATGCCCATCCAAGACCAGCCCACGGAGGTCCCCTAACCTCACAATCGAGTCAGGTCTCATAAACAGCTAAGGCCTAGTTGTTTGCTGTATCTGGAGAATAATTTTTGCACACACGTTTAGTTCATCGAGGTACCGTTCATTAAACGAATTAACTATGAGTCTGTACAAGGAATGCACACTGGAGTCTCAGTAGATGAGGCAATTCTTTCCTCAGCAGATCATGGCAGCCGCCTCCCTTGTTCTTAATACCCAAAGTTTGTGAAGCAAGGGTCAGAATGATAAGGTAGTTTAAACACACTCCCAGGATGGCTTGCCAAGGTTGTGCTCTCTAATCCACAATGTCGCTGGCTTGTTCCATACACATACAGCGCAGCTTGCTCGTATCTTTTCCTAAACATGTTCTCTTGTTGAATTTCCTTAGCACAAAGATCCAGAACTTCGGGCGTTAGAACTTTGGAGTTTGTCCTCTTGATGGCACGAGGTCTGATTTCTTTACTCTCCATAACGGTCGAGTGTTAGTTATTTTCCGCTATCTTTGTCTTTATGAGGAGGATATCTCTACGGCGGAGGTCAATGTTACCGCTGCTTCAACGCCTCCGTATCACTATGTTTTTCTAAGATCTGACGGCTTTTATCTGCGCTTAGATATTTTGACGTCGACAGCGTGTCTAGAGATAGATTAGTACAGCTTTTTGTTTATGCAGAAGAAACCCCTGCTAGGCTGCCTAAATTTGGTATTCACGTGTGACCTCTGATGCCACCTGGCGTATGGAATAATATTTTCACCAATAAATTGCCTCTTCAGAGTTGCTGAAATGGGATAAGTCGAATGTTCGCTGTGGGCCAAGTTAGAAAGTATTCACGAGATAACGCCACTACCTGCCAAGATTCCGATCTCTGCCCTTACTCAACCTCGGCAATTTAATGATCATGCATTCTAGGAAAAGAACATGAAAGCGTTAATCTTGAGTGACAGGTCTGAGTCCCGGAAACCCATCAACAGTTATATCGCGCGTGGGCACCAATTAAGCAGTTTTCATTTTCTTCCGCTCTGATACGCTCGTTTCAAAATTGCGGTTTTGTTCTAAAATTGATGATCGTGTTTTTCCTGTTTGACAGAGCGACTGGATTAATTCTTTTTGTGTCTCTTTGTTGCGTGCTTTGGTACTTTTATCGAGTTGATCTTAAAAGTCGTTTAACAAAACATCTATTGCAGATTAGCTGGCGTTTATTCAAAATAACGATTTAACGATGTAAAGTTTAATATGACGTCGTCATAAGAAAACCAAGAACGTGCTAAGTATACTGTACCTCGAGAACTGATGATGTTAGCAGTTTTCTTTTTATTTTTCACTTTCCTTTATTCCCGAAAAATAAAAATAACAAAACATAAGCGTCATTTTTTATTTTCTTCATATTGTTGCGTGGATATTTATTTTTAAAGTGGTATAATACTAAATCCATATCGAGTAATACAACGATATTTACACTTTAGCAACACGAGTTAAAAAAAAAACCGAAGAAATCATTTCATTTTTCCCACCGTTTTCCCCTACGTTTAAAATTTCTTTAGTATACCTCCTCGTTCCTCACCACAAAAAGGCGGATATTATTTTTTCGGTTTCAAATACCAGTCTGAAACGTGTAGTTATATATTGTTGTGACAAATTGCTTTGAACGAAAATAGCAAAAAAAAAATTTTATCTGATTTTTGTTGTTAAATATAGGCAGTTTTATAAACTGAGCTCACGGTAAATCATTTACGCTATTTTAGGTCTTCAACTTTTCACGTCAGGAATTTTAAATAGTCGTTTCAGGAACTCAGCACTGAAACGGACTTTCACTTGATTGCATTTAAGGAGTTTCAGGTCATAACAAGATTTCACACAGAACTATTCATAGCCTACCCTTGAATGACGCATCAAAAAACTATAACAGAGAACCGAACTTTTCCGCCGATCTGTCTCTAGACCTGATGGGACGAGAAGTTGTTCCAACTGGACCTTTCATGATAACTCTGTTGCCTTTCTTACATAAACTTCAAAATTAAAATGAACGTCTCTAGAAATAGAAAGAGAAAATCCAGTTTCGCGGATTACCAAAAATACCCAACCACCTTTTTAGGTGTAGGACTAATTTAATCCTTAGTAAACCCCTAAGATCTGGTTAGCAAATTCAACCTTAAATATTTCCTCACAAAAAAGCCAATAAAATACATGGTTATATAAAAATAACACATTCTAACTGATGGACTGATATTCTCGTCGTCTTTTCGGTAGATCATGTATAGATAATGCAGAGGAGGAACTTAGTAAAGGAATTAAAGGTTTAATTATGGTTCTCTAAACATGACGATCATTGCAAATAACACCTTTATCCTTAAATTGGTCGTTTCTATTTCTGGTGCTGGGAGAGAATGCTAAGAGTCTTACAATCATCCTTTTTTTCGGCAGGAAGAGCTTCTGCTATGGTTACAGAAAAATTTGTCGATGACGCCTGATCTAAAGCACGCGTCTTATGTATGAGTAGTTTTGCTTGACCACAGAAACGTATATATATGATCACAATAATGTAATGGAGCTAAAAACTTTGTATTTTTATGGAAACAAATGAGTAAAACGCTACGAATTATGCCTTAAAGAAATGTCAACAATTTTAAGACTCTTCCAAACCTCAGAATTACAAGTTGATCCGGAGCGGATTTATTTTAGTCACGCGGAAACTAGGCAACCCGTTTTGGTTCGATCTGAACGGATTCCCAAAATGGCAATCTGTTTTCTTTATTTCGGTATTCAGTAGCTTTCTTTAGAGGTAACACCAAAGCGGAAAACATTGGACTGATCCGCCTGCTTCATTCACGCTTTTTTCTTTTTATCAACGAGCTGTAAAGGCACCAGTCTTCACTTTGCCTACAGAACAAAGGGACAAACGATCGGAATTACAGCGAAATTTGAAAAAAGGAAGCTTAGAGTTTTCTAACTTTTTAGTTTGGTACATGGCGGAACACTGAATTATCGTATTAAATTCTCACAAAGCCATTCACCCTTTGGTTAAAGGGTGCACATCAGTGGCCATTTAGGCTTTAGTGGTTACCTTAATCACTTTCTCACTTCCGTAAACAAGAACAAGTCGTTTGCTCTTATGAATGCTGAAATCGTTTTTACAACCAAAAATGGAAACTTCTCTTGAAATTCTC